CAGGTGTACAGAGTCCTTCTCAGGGCATAGTTTGCTGCAATATTTCCTAAACTGGTTTCATGTGTTAAGTAAATTATCACTGTTTCTATGATAATTTTTAAAAAAATATTAAAAAAAATTCAAATAAATGGAATCATATATAGCAGTTTAGATTCTGGAAATTAATGTTTGTAAAACCATTGAGACTATATAGTTTTTAGAAAGTCTTTGTACACTCCAGTTTGAAGGGTTACATTTTAAAGCAAGGATAAAGAGTTCGGGTTAGTTATAAATCACTTTCAAGAGTTTGGACCTCCTTTTGAACCTAGTAGAATATCACTGACAATCTTTGGAATAAGGAGTGGGACATGATTAGTGCTGTGCTTTGGGGAATAAACAGAGAATGGGTGGGATTTATCCATTTATTCAACAAGTGCTGTATTCTGGGTAGTGTGGACTAAAAGGTGAAGAAAACAAAATCTCTACTTTCCTAGAGCTTACATTCTAAGAGGAAAAGACACAAATGAGTACAACAGCATATTGTTAGCTAGAGATGGATGCTATTGAAAGCAAAGCAGGCACTATTCTAGAGAGCATGAATGCGAAGCTCCTGTGCCATAGAGTTTACATCCTAACTGGGAAAGACTAGAAATAAATGAAATAATAGCATAATGTCAGGAAGCGATAGTAGCAGTACTATAAAAAGTTAAGGAGTGTGTGTGTAAAAGATAAGGAGTTTATTTTCAATATAGGGGTGTTTGGGAAAGTAGGAGATGACATCTTAGATCAGAGCCTTGACTTGAATAAAGTGATGAAGTATACCCTGTGAACATCTGTGTCGGTCAAACTTGTCCAACTCGTGGCCTGCAGGCGGCATGCAACTCAGGACAGCCTTGAATGTGGCCCCATACAAATTCATAAACTTTTTGAAAACCTGAGTTAATTTGCATATTTTTTAGCTCATCAGCTATTAGTGTTAGTGAGTATATTTTATATGTGGCCCATGACAGTTATTTTTCCAATATGCCCCAGGGAAGCCAAAATATTGGGCACCACTGATCTAGGTGAAAAGAGTTCCAACAAAGGGAACAGCAATACAAAGTGCAGAGACAGAGTATGCATGGCATATTTGGGAAAGCAGCACAGCTAGCCTTGCTGGAGTGGCATGAGAAAGCAGAAGAAAAATAGAAAATAATGTCAGAAAAGGTAGCCAGTTAGAAAGTAATGTAAAGTTCTGAGACCATGGAAGGTTTTGCATTTGCTGGTAAGGACAGAGGTAATACTTTACACTGATTTATGTATTAAAAGGATCACTGTGGACACTTTACTAAAAAATGAACGTAGGGGGTCCGAGTGCAGTGGCTCAAGCCTGTAATCCCAGCACTTTGGGAGGCCAAGGCAGGGGTGGATCATGAGGTCGGGAGTTTGAGACCAGCCTGGCCAGCATCGTGAAAGCCCATCTCTACTAAAAACACAAAAATTAGCCAGGTGTGGTGGTGGGCACCTGTCATCCCAGCTACTCAGGAGGCTGAGGCAGGAGAATTGCTTGAACCCAGAAGGGGGAGCTTGCAGTGAGCCGAGATTATGCCACTGCACTCCAGCCTGGGCAACAGAGCAAGACTCCATCTCAAAAATAAGAAAAAAAAAATGCAGGAAAGCAGGATTAAGGAGTCTTGGATTATGGTGGTATAGGAGGATGGTGAGACTGTAAGTGAAAACTAAACTCTGATTTTCTATCTTGCCCAAATTTCTTCCAAGGGGTCTGGGGAGTCATGCCCTACAAACCATAAATTCTCATCAGATGTCTTTTATTTGACCCTATATACCATAACTTACTTTTCAGTCTGACTCTGGCATAACGTTATGAGACAAGGGAAAAAATATATTTCCTTGCCATACCTTGAAATTGCCCTGAAAAGTCTCTTGTGGGAAAAATCCACATTCTATGGAGAATCTCCTCTGCCCTTTGTTTTTCTTCCTTTGTTTGCAGATCTGGTAAGATAATCAACTAAGAGCAAGGCACCCTTTTAGGTACGATAAGAAACATTGTACAACCTGCTCTCTGAAGTCTGCTGAGAGATTCCTCTGCACAATAAAACTGGTCTCCACAATCCTATACCTTAATCTAAACATTCCTTTCCATTGATCCCAGGTCTTCAGATAAATTCAACCAATTGTCAACCAGAAAAATGTTTAAATTTACCTATAGCCAGGCCACCCACTTTAAGTTGTCCTGCCTTTCTGAATCAACCAATGTATTTCTTAAATGTATTTGATTGGTGTCTCATGCCTCTCTAAAATATATAAAACCAAGCTGTACCCCTACCACCATGGGCACATGTTCTCAGTTCCTCCTCCTGAGAGCTGTGTCATGGGCCATGGTCACTCATACTTGGCTCAGAATAAATCTCCTTAACTATTTTACAGAGTTTGACTCTTGTCATCAGCGTAAGTAAGGGAAGGAGGGTCAACTAATAATGACATCTCATGTGTTTCTAATGAATGCTAGAGTTACACACCGGGAAATAGCAAACAAATTTCTAAGACCCTGTAGAGGGAGGGTAACTTGGAAACTGAATATAAAGGCAGCATAGTTGGGGAAAATGGGGAAAATGGAAGACAGCTCTGACGCTCTGAAACTTGGTAATTAGAAGGATGGAAGTACCACTGTTTCCAATAAAGAAATTAAGACAAGCTGGGGAGAGAAAGGGAAAGATAATGAGTTGTGATTACATTGAGTATATCTGGATGTCAATATTTAACTGATACAGATAATAAATTTACTCATCTCCAAACAGACAAAAGTTGAGGCCATTTTTATGTCTCAAGGGAAAACCAAGGAACCATTGTTTTTGGAGTATTAAAGCAAAAATAAGCAAAAGGCCATTAGCCTAGGGTTGTTGCTTACCTGGAGCTCTTACGTAAGCACACAGGCACTTGGAAACAGTTCTTGTAACTGACTTATTAAAAAAGCCCACGAGTCTCAGGCAATCACGAACAGCCAACAACAGGATCATTGGTTATACAACTAGGGACCTCCCACCAGCCACATAGGCAAATGTCTTATTAAACCATGACCAAATAAGGCAAACCTAGCTGTAGCCAATCAGGTAATTTCCTTACTTTCCTTCCTTGTTTAGTCTATAGAAGCTTGCTCTCAGGCCACTGGAGGAGAGCTTTCTGAATGCTTCTGGTTCAGAGTGCTGCAGATTTATAAATTGTTCTTTACTGAAATAAGCTGTAAAGTTTAATTTGTCTCAAGTTTTTCTTTTAACAGGAGTGACAGCTACTATGGGCAAAATGTTCACATAATAGTGGGAAATCAAATGCCTGGGATATAGAAAATTGAGATTTGTTTGAAAACTATAACAAAGGCAGCCTAACATAAGCATGGCTGTAGAGCTGGTGTCAATGTTCACATTCTTTGGGCCTTAATTTCTTTATCTGAAAATTGTTACAATGGAATCTAGTTGGTGGGGTTGTTGTGGAGCAAGTGTTCTTAATCTGGAGTCCACAAAATTTCAGCATCTGTGAACCTTGTATTGAAAAAATTGTAACTTTATGTCTATTAAACCTCAGAACAGTTTAGTTTCTTTCAATTATAAACGCAGGCAACAAACCACAGCAGTATTATCAGAACCTACGGCTTTGTTTCCTATTGAAATTAAAGATATTTTCATACTCAGTAGAGTTGTTGCAAATATCTTGAACAATTTATATGTATATATTTCTTAACTATTACATATATTATATATGTAACATATATATATATATATATTTGGAGACAGGGCCTTGCTCTGTCTCCCAGGCTGGAGTGTGTGGTGGCATGATCAGAACTCACTGTAACCTCAAACTCCTGGGCTCCCGTGATCCACCCAGCCTGCCTTGAAATAGCTAGCACTATAGGTACTTCCCACTAGAACCAGCTGTTAAATATATATCTATATTTTTTGGAAAGACAAGGTCTCACTGTGTTGCCCAGGCTGGTCTCCAGCTCTTGGACCCAAGCAAGCCTAGGTCTCCCAAACTACTGGGTTTACAGGTGTAAGCCACTGTGCTAGGTTAATCCTATATATTTAATTCCATGCATTTAGAAATATGAGCTATTTTAAGACTGCAGCTACAGGTTTTATTAGATTACCAAAGGTGCTCAGGGCGCAAGTGAAGAAATCTTGAGATAGAGTAGTAAAAATCATGATGCATTAGAACAGACCAGACCGGCCCGTATTAAATGTTCAATACAGTCTGCTGCTATGCTTTTTTTTTTTTTTTTTTT